TAATAATAATAATAATAATAATAATAATAATAATAATTATTATTATTTTTATTATTATTATTATTATTATTATTATTATTATTATTATTATAAAGCCCTTGCTCTGAAACAATCATGCAAACCAGGTGCTCCTCGGAAATGGCTATCTTTGCTCTGCATCAGGTGCACAGCAGCAAGAAGTTTGGCAGTGAACTATGACCTTATTTTAATGACAAATGTCTAAGAATACTGCTTTACGTTTTTATTTAATTTATACATACGCAATGAATGTAAGCCTGCTAACTGTGTGTGGTTCAAATGATAGAATATGTAAACTTAGTTAATATATAATTAAATAATAATAATTAAAAGTCTGCGTGTAAGGCTTTTATTTTGAGGGTGACGTCACGAGCGCAGATTTGGTTGACCAATTAGAGGAAAGTGGGCGTTTCAGCACCGCCTACATGTGTAAAATGAATTTTAAAGTCGTTTATCCGTTTTCCTACCCTAAACCAAAAAACGAAAATTCAGCCAAAATCTCGTTTTTTCGTTTTCTCGTGAGCAAAAGAAAAACGGAAAAACGGCCGTTTTCTCCATTTCCTTTATTCCGTTTGAAAATGGAAAACAAATGAACAAAACCATTTTTTGACTCATTATTTCGTTTTGGTTTTGTGTTTGTTTTAATATTTCGTTTTAAGTTAATAAGCAGAATAACAGATGAGTTTCCGTTTTTTCTGCCTACAGAATAAACAGAAAAACGAAATATTCATCGTTTTTCTGATGTTTCGTTTTCCGTAATAAAAGGAATAATCAAATGAACGGATGATACACGGACCGAAAAGTTATCTTTGCCACTGTTGCTGATAAATATAGAAATACATATTGTACAACATATATTTATTATCAATTAATGATTCAACAGATCACACATAAAACTTCATTTTTCATTATAGGTGTATTTTTGAAAACCTATTCGCTGACATAATTTTAATGGTTGTTTGTCGCCATCCATTGGTTACACAATGTAATCGCTACAACATTCATCAACGTTCATTAGTTCACCAAGTTCCATTAAACAGTGATTTTAGTCTTTACCATATTTAACATCAGTGTTTACATCTTAACCATATTTAACATCGGTGTTTACATCTGAACTATTAACTGTTATCCTCCAGTACTTCTGTGTTATTTAATTTTTTGTAACTAACTGAAAAAGTGTAAAAACTCTCTCGATCAAACGCAGATTCGATTGCAGCACTTCAAAGGATTTATAAACATATGCAAATCAATGTAATTTATCATTCATGTTGCGCGGGTTTGAATTGAGTTCAGGATCTTTTAATGTTTAATTGTACAGCTTTACACTGAATATGACAGACAACATCTTTAATTAATAACATTCTCAACCGTGATCTATTACACCCCTAGTTGGGAACCTTCCTGTCTATGGAGGATGAGGGAGCTCTCAGATTTCACATAAAATATTGACATTTTTGTCTCAAAGATGTAAACCTTTTCTTTTTTTTTTTTTTTTTTTTTACCAACGAGCCATTTTTTAATTTGCTGTTTTGCATATTCTTTCTGAAGAGCTAATTTGGAACTAAAATTTCTATTATTCTTTAACTAAAAACAACAACAAGATCAATAACAGTAAGATGATTTAGGTGCATGATCAACCTGTGGAAAACAGAAAAAAAACAACCTAAAAATGCGTTTCGTTTTGTTTATAATGGAGATGAACATAATGTTAAGAATAAAATAATGAACAATAATGTTTCATTTTGTTCATAATGGAGACCTTTGTTTAATGTGCATGTTTTCATCTAGAATGTGTATATACACACATATTTCAAAGAGTTTAAAATATTTTTATATGCTCTTCTTCTCCTAGTTTAAAAATTAGGAGACAGAAATTAACCTTCCCTCAACAGAGTGATATTTTACCCTTTAAATTAATTTGTTTTTGAATGTATGCTTTTTTTAAAGGGTCAAACTGTTAAATTCATCTGCATAAATGTTTCTATGTTTTGTTTAAATAATAATTAAAATTAAATAAAAAATAAAAAATAAAATAAAATGTCACATCCATGAAGTTAATTTAATGAAATGAGCATTAAAACGTGGATTCAAATTGGTCATAACAAGTGGATTTTGGGTATATCTAGGAATGTTTATATGCGACAAGATTTGATTCCTGTTTTAAATATAACTTTTTAAAAACTAAAAGGTACATTTTAAAATAAACAGTCAACAGTCAAACAGTTAATTGAGAACTGAAGTAAGTTGTTATTATAAATGGGCACTTGAATCTTTAACTCGATTAATTAAAAACTCGATTAATTCATTAAACAACCAAAACCACTGCAGTTGCACGCAGAACTACAAATGCAAATGTTACACCTTACATTGAATCTGACCTTTTATTAAATTCAGTTGGTATTAGAACAGAGACATTGAGACCAACTTTGCGTTTTCTGTCAGAGGCTAATCTCTATATTCTTTATAGTGTTGTGTCTGTAAGTTTTTAATGATCATATATTGATGATGGGTCAATTTGTGAAAAAGTGACAGTAAAGCCAAAGGTATAAGATTTTGATCTTAATAGCTTTACGGCAACTACACGATTTTTGGCTGGATTTTGCTGTGACAAACAGATTCATAAGGTTTGTGGCCAAATATAGTTCTTAATGCAGTCGCTGATACTCCTTTATTATTAACAGGCCCGTGAAGAGATCTAAGCCTGTCTTGAGCAGTCAAAATGAGCTGCAAAATCTTTAGACCTCTTTAATGCTATCAGCATGTGATGTTGTAGTGTGTGTAATGCAACCAGGTCAAATCCAGCTAATCACAGATGGCATAAACGGAAAAATCTCATAATAACTTGTTTCGATTTTTGGTGTGATTTATTGTGAAGAAACATTTTTGCTCTGGACTGCCTCTAAACCCAAATGTCTTGTTGTTTGTGCACAAGGTTAAATTCATTGTTTCCCTTTGGAGAGATTTGTTGAAAAAGTTCTGCCCTACATAGACACCCATAAGACAACATACACTCATCTGCCACTTTATTAGGTACACCTGTCTAGCTGCTCGTTAACGCAAATTTCTAATTAGTCAATCACATGGCAGCAACTCAATGCATTTAGGCATGTAGACATGGTCAATACGATTTGCTGCAGTTCAAACCGAGCATCAGAACAAGGAAGAAAGGTGATTTAACTGACTTTGAACGTAGCATGGTTGTTAGCGCTAGATGGGCTGGTCTGAGTATTTCAGAAACTGCTGATCTACTGGGATTTTCACGCACAACCATCTCTAGAGTTTACAGAGAATGGTCTGAAAAAGAGAAAATGTCCAGTGAGCGGCAGTTCTGTGGGCGCAAATGCCTTGTTGAGGTCAGAGGAGAATGGCCAGACTGGTTCCAGCTGATAGAAAGGCAACAGTAACTCGTCACAACTGAGGTATGCACAAGAGCATCTCTGAACCTTGAGGCGGATAGGCTACAGCAGCAGAAGAGCACACCGGTTGCCACTACTGTCAGCTGAGAACATGAAACTGAGGCTACAATTCTCACAGGTTCACTAAAATTGGACAATAGAAGATTGGAAAAACATTGCCTGGTCTGATGAGTCTTGACTTCTGCTGTGAAATTTGGATGGTAGGGTCAGATTTAACGGCAACAACACAAAAGCATGGATCCATCCTGCCTTGTATCAACTGTTCAGGCTGGTGGTGGTGGTCTAATAGTTTGGGGGATGTTTTCTTGGCACACTTTGGTCCCATTCTTACTAATTGAGCATTGTGTCAACACCACGGCCTACCTGAGTATGGTTTCTGACCATGTCCATCCCTTTATGACCACACTGTACCCATCTTCTGATGGCTACTTCCAGCAGGATAACATGCCATGTCGTAAAACCTGAATCATCTCAGACTGTTTTCTCGAACATGACAATGAGTTCACTGTAAATGGCCTCCACAGTCACCAGAACTCAATCCAATAGAGCACATTTAGGAAGTGGTGGAACAGGAGAACCTTGTGTATATATATTATATATATATTATATATATATTATATTATATATTATATATTTTTATTATATATATATATATATATATATATATATATATATATATATATATATATATATATATATATATATATTTTTTTTTTTTTTATAAATATATATATATATATATATATATATATATATATACATATATGTATATACATATATATATATATATATATGTATATACATATATATATATATATATATATATATATATATATATATATACATATACATATATATACATGTTGTGTTATTTTTATATACACACACACACACACACACACACACAGTATACATATACGGTATACATTTACAGTATACATATATAGTTAAATGTCAGTGAGGTACGATGTAAATATCATTGTAAAATATATATTCGTGAATTTGTAAATATATATTGCAACAGTTAAATTTATTGTGGTCATCTACATGTATTGCATAATATATTGATTATTATCGACAGGCTTTAGCCTATGTACTTTAATGATGTTAAATTGGTTGAATATGGATTAATTTGATTGTAACCCTTAATATTTCAGTGGCAGTGCAGTGTCTGGTATTTGAATGAAATGCTGATATTTCAGTGTTTTTGTTGTGCTGAGTTACGTTTGGTGCAGAGCAGACAGCCTAATTGCTTGTCGCTGGAATCTTGTCATGTCGCGTGTAGTTAGGACACAGTGTTTCAGTACAGTTAAATTATTTTTGCTGCCTGTTCAAGCTACTTATTTAAAATTAGTTGAAACGTCACAATTCTGGAGATTAAAACAAATATTCATCTTTATTTCAAAAGGAAATAGTGAGTAGTCAGAATATAACATTGAATAGATCCAATAAATCTAATAAATTTTCACACAGCGATCAGCTGAATTTATTTATTTATTTATTTATTATTATTCGCCCAGCCCCAGCTTTAAATCACCTAATTTGTCCCTGTGTTATATACTACAGGTACACTGTGCTGTTTTCTCATGGTAATGCTGTGGATCTCGGTCAGATGAGCAGCTTCTATATTGGTCTGGGCACTCGCATCAACTGCAACATTTTCTCTTACGATTACTCCGGTTATGGGGTCAGCACAGGGAAACCCTCGGAGAAGAATCTGTATGCAGACATTGACGCTGCATGGCACGCTTTGCGCTCAAAGTACGTCTAAATCCTGAAACTACAAAGCACATTGTTCTGTAGTTTACTTATGCAATATTCAACTGTTTCATGTTTATTCCACGCATCTCTTCTGTGTTATCTCAGGTACGGCATCAGCCCGGAGAATATAATCCTTTATGGGCAGAGCATTGGCACTGTGCCCACCGTGGACCTGGCATCTCGTTATGAGTGTGCTGCTGTGGTACTTCACTCACCTCTCACCTCGGGCATGAGGGTTGCGTTCCCTGACACCAAGAAGACCTACTGCTTTGACGCCTTCCCAAAGTCAGTCAACACTACAGACCTTTTTCATAGAATGTAAAATAACCCATTATGATTTGTGTGGATACTTAAGGTGGATGCTTTAAACTTCCGGTCAGCAGCCTGATGCGTATAGAGTCACATTTGGACGGCTTTGAAACGATAGTTTTAATCTATTTGACTTGCATTTAACAACTTTGAGCTAATACTGCTGTCTATCAGCGCCACCTCCTGGACTGATTATTATTATTTTTTCCATCAAATTTTTCTTTTATTTTGTATTTTTTTAACACAGAATAACATGCCGTAGACAATCAGCATAAAACAAAATGTGTAGATATACATATATAAACCAATATACAAGTTAAATAATAAATAGTTAAATAATAGTATTAATAATAGCATCAGCCATGACAACAATATTGTCAGTTAAACGGAAAAACTGAAGAATAATGACAAGGACATACTAACGCAAATAAAATAAATTAATACATATACACATATATACATATATGCACACATATATATACATACACATGCATATATGCTGGACTGATTATTTAAATTATCTAATTGTAAATTTTAAACAATGGGTTCTTTTTTAACGTTCTAGGCGCAAAGTCTAAAGCACATGGCGCAAAAACCATCAAGGGTGTTTAAATCCACTTTTGCTATTTTAAGGACTGGTCTAACAGGGTTGTGCTTATTCTCTTAATAATAATAATAATAATAATAATAATAATAATAATAATAATTCCTTACATTTATATAGCGCTTTTCAGGGCACTCAAAGCACTTTACACATAGGGGGGAATCTCCTCATCCACCACCAGTGTGTAGCATCCACCTGGATGACGCGACGGCAGCCATTTTGCGCCAGACCACACACCACACACCAGCTGATTGGTGGAGAGGAGACAGAATGAGTTATAGGTGTGTTTTGAGCATAATGTGCATTAAAACAATCAGAGTCTCATCTCCCATTCCCTTTAAGAGTTAGTTGCGTCACGCCATGGTCAGGGGCACCTGTGGCTGGCACGGGCCCTTTGACAACCTCTTGCGGACCACCATTATTGGGTGTTTTGGGGGGGGGGGGGGGGGGTTCTTGCGAATGTAAGTGAAGACAGGGGGTGGGGGTTGTTGCAGACGTAATTGAAAATCTCTGGGGACCCTCAAAACGCTTGGGCCCTTAGAATCATCCTGACTTCCTGGGCCTCCTTAATTTGGCCTCATTACTTTCACTCTTTACTCCTTTACTTTCGTGGATAAGAAAACAGTGTTGTAGGCACTTCACTAAAGACTTCCGTTAGCCTACATATTTAATTTAGTTAAAGCGTAAAGATTTGTTTTCAAAACCATTTCTAAATTCAGTTCTAATTTCCAGCATACCAATAAATGAGCAATAATAAATAAACTCAATAAACTGAGTTATATCCAAACACACGTCCTATTCTTATGCCCTATATGGTGATGCATACGTCAAAATATACCAAAATCCAACAGGCGAACAAATCTAAACTTGCCTTTATTAAAACAAATGCAAACCGTCATGAATAAACTGAAAAAACCCTCCGAGATGAGGCATGGAGGCAGTTGTTTTTATATTTATGTAGAAAATAATAATAATAATAATAATCAAGAATAATAATTTTTCTAACATTTTAATCCTTAATTTTGTTCATATGTAAAAATATTTGTGTATTTCTGTATACCTTGTGTGTATTAAGGGATGTGTAAGCTTTTTAACCCCCATAGGCGCAAAACTAACACGCTCTGTCTGGACTTTTGACTAGATTTAGATGGCTAATGTTGCGGTCTGTTTCAGTTCCTCAAAATAGCAACGCAGCAGCAATGCGCCTTAACACACCTTTATTTTAGACAAGCACGCCCATGAGCCCACAAAGTAGTGCAAATGCTTTTGCTATTTAAACAACATGGTGCAAAACATTGGGGTAGTGCTGCTCTGAAAATAGCAACAAATTGCACCAAACATGTCATGCGCCTTATAATGCCGGGTCTATGATGGGGCCTAATTAGAGCTGCACGGTTCTGGCTGAAATGAGAATCGCAATTTTTTTTTTTTTTTTTCGCCTAAGATAAAGATCATGATTTTCTCACGATTCTGTAGATGTAAAATGGAGGCAAATATGAGTGGGCTATTATTACTGTTATTCTCAAACATATTGTAAAATAGGCTTTGTGTAGCTGTACTGTTGGTTAAAATGCTAAATGTTGTATAGGCTTGGAATGGTGGACTGGATCAGACTTTTGATTTGTCCTGGTCATTAATGCTGATGATATAAATGCTCTGTGGTAACAGCTGACAGACAGCTCACGTCACGTTTGAATTTGTGGTCGTAAATACATTATATGAAGACAGAAATGGCATTTTTGAGGTGAATTATAACTTATAAATACAGTATGTGACTCATTCAACATCATTTGGAGGTGTCCACGTAGCTGAACAACGTATGTAAAACAATGAGAAGACTTGTGAGGCCATTTTTGCTTCTCTCCTGAACTTGAAAATATGATTGACAGAATCGTAGAAATGCTGGATTAAGATAGTCTAGGGCCGGGGTCTCAAACTCAATTTACCTGGGGGCCGCAGGAGGCAAATCCTGGGTGAGGCTGGGCCGCATAAGGGATTTCACAAAAAGTCCTCAAATGTCATTATTAACAGTTTTAATTATTTCTTCTGAACATGAAGTGTCCTGAACATTAATAGAACATTGAGTGAAGATTATGAACAGTTCTTCTGAACATGGAATCTTTTGCCTACTTCTTGCTGCCAGAGACTTGACAGCGCTTCTTCTCACAAATCTGAACCACATTTGGCTTTAGAGGGGAAGCAGTTGAGACCCTCAGTATGGCTTGAAGATGATCATCAAGTCTAGACCTGTACTTTGACTTATTGAAGTCCTAGGGAAAAAAGTGGGGGAACTCACTCAAAACTTCCATTCCCTCACCTAAAAAAAGCCGTATATATGTATAAATAAAACACCCCCACCCCACTCCAGTCTGTATCTACCTATAATATCAACACAATCTCACGGCAATTCGTAACTTTTTCATTTAGTGGCTAATTTGTATGAATTCGTACGATCTAATTCGTACAATTTAGTACGATTTGCTTATCCCCCAATGATGGTTGGGGTTAGGTGCCACGCCTCCTTTTAAAAATCGTACTATTTCGTACGACTGAACTCGTACGAATTATAGCCACTAAACTGGCAAAACGTAAAATACTTACGTTTTCTCGTGAGATCAGGCTGATAATATAAATAAGATGCAGGGCAGGCACGTGCACACATAGGGCTCAACCTTTGCAGAGCACATGCCCTTTTTAGTCTTGCATAGAAAGTGCCCTTCCAAAATGATCAAAAGTGCCCCCGCGACGCGACAAACCCTCGGTCCCACCCTTCAGTAGGCGCGCGATAACACCGCTCTTGAGTACGCGCGCGACAACACAGCTGATCAGAACGCGCGCGACAACGCGCATTGAGTGACAAGCGCGCTGTGTACGGATAGAATCAGTGGAGCGGGGAGCGCTCTCTCTCCCCGCTCCGCTGATTCTGTCAGAGTACAGCGGTCGGCGCGGGCCACAAAATATTGCACTGAGGGCCGCAAATGGCCCGCGGGCCGCGAGTTTGAGACCCCTGGTCTAGGGGGTCGAATCGAGATCGCAACCTTTTTACGATTAATTGTGCAGCTCTAGCTTTCATTGTTCCAGGTTACTCAGTGACATTGACATCTCCAAATGATGTTGAATGAGTCACATAATGTATTTTATAAGGTATAATTCAACTAAAAATGTCATTTTTGTCTTCATATAATGATGTTTTCGCGGCCGGGAAATCACACGTGACGAGAGCTGCTGACCGTAAGGTGTTATCACAGAGAGGGCGTCTACTTTAGTGAACAGAACCTGCGTATGTGACGAATAAAAGGTAATACAGTTGTCAATAATATTCAGTTTGTGTCACAGAGTGATCGTTTGGGAGCCGCGTGCAAAGTATGAACAATCACTTAGCAGTCAAAATGAAACCGAAAGTGTGCACTTCATTTAAATGATCAAATCGCATTTTAGAGTTATGATTACGACAAGCATGTGATATGTTTTTTTCTTTCATAGCGAACTCACAGTTGTGCATGAAAATAAATGTTTACAATGTCAGTATAACTACTCTAGCCTATATATTGTTGAATATAATGCGATAATGGCAAATGTCTGATTTTACCAGTGAATAAAACCGGAAACCGGAGCACCCGGAGGAAACCCGGAGGAAACCCACGCGAAGGCAGGGAGAACATGCAAACTCCACACAGAAACGCCAACTGAGCCGAGGTTCGACCCAGCGACCTTCTTGCTGTGAGGCGTCAGCACTACCTACTGCGCCACTGCCTCACCCGTACTTTTATGCATGCACTTATAATTGGAAAGGGCGCAGTTGGTAGTGCTGTCGCTTCACAGCAAGAAGGTCGCTGGTTCGAACCTTGGCTCAGTTGGCGTTTCTGTGTGGAGTTTGCATGTTCTCCCTGCCTTCGTGTGGGTTTCCTCCGGGTGCTCCAGTTTCCCCCACAGTCCAAAGGCATGCGGGACAGGTGAATTGGGCGGGCTAAATTGTTCGTAGTGTATGAGTGTGTGTGTGTGAATGTGTGTGTGGATGTTTCCCAGAGATGGGTTGCGGCTGGAAGGGCATCCGCTGCGTAAAAACTTGCTGGATAAGTTGGCGGTTCATTCCGCTGTGGCGACCCTGGATTAATAAAGGGACTAAGCCGACAAGAAAATGAATGAAGGAATGAATAATAATTAGAAATGTTTCTTGTGCAGCAGATTTAGAGGATCATATTTATATGATTTCTGAAAAGTCATGTCAAAGTGGATGCTCAAAATGATCTTTTATTTATAGAAGTAAATTACACATTTTTAGTATATTTTCAAATAGAAAACACCTGTAATTATAATAATATAACATATTTTTGCGCTGTTTTACTTTATTTTAGATTAAAAACAGTATTTGTGAGCATAAAACCCTTAAAAAACAAAAACAAAAAGCCTTGCAGATCCCAAACGGAATAAACTGTAATACAGTAGTAAAAAAAGGGAAATCCCCATTAAGTACAATACCAGTATGTTCCTCTGAATGTCCTTTAAAGAAAAAAGCAACTCGTACTCATTTAGTAGGAAATGATAAAGAGAAAACGCTGAAATAATTTTCATTACAGATTGTGCTGTCCCCTTTTAAACGCTCTATTATATCTTATTCACTTTTCCTCAGCATCGAGAAGGTGTCTAAAATCACATCTCCTGTGCTGATCATCCACGGGACGGAGGACGAAGTGATTGATTTCTCTCATGGTCTGGCCCTGTTCGAGCGCTGCCCGAAAGCAGTGGAGCCGCTGTGGGTTGAAGGAGCGGGTCATAACGACATCGAGCTCTACAGCCAGTACCTGGAACGTCTGCGCAGGTTCATCAGCCAGGAAGTGGCTACGCAGTAAAAGCTGGGACACTTTTTCTTTTTGTGCTTGCGTCAATAAATAGTCGGCCATGTGTGGAAAGCAAACACACCGAGTTATTTCTGGAGGGTTTGTTTTTCTGTAGATGTGCCGGCTGTTTGGTTTCTATCAGCCTGGAGCTGAGTTTTCTACTGAGAAGTCTGAAGGTTTCACACGGAGAAGATCTGGATGTGTGAGCGTCGGGTCTCAGGAAGGACCTCAGTCCATCTGAGGCGCTCGCTCACTTGATTTGGCTTGTGATTTATTATGATTCTTTTTCTTTGTGATTTAGGACGACTGAAGTGTCATTTTGAACATGACTAATATCTAATATCTGGTAATGAAACTCTGCTGTCGTGGGTGTTTATGTACTTGCTCTTTTGTTAGGTTTCGTGGCTGAGCAGAAGACCAGTCTGTTTTAAAATACAGCATCTTTTCAGACCAGAAATCTCTGCTGGACAGATTCTGTGGGTTTGTGTGTGTGTGTGTGTGTTTGACGACCTTTTTAAGACCATCCGCTGTGTGTGTGAGTGTTTTTATTGAAACTTCTTTTCTGGTTAATCTTCATCGGGCAACTCGAGATGTACTACCTGTCAAATGTTTGGACGTTATGATTGAAAGTCTTGAGGAATATTAGAAATTGTGCCTAAAGTACATATTCATTTCTTTACAAGACTAAAATCTGTTTTTTCTTAAAGGCATAGTTCACCCAAAAGTGAAAATTGTCATCGTTCACTCTTCACAAAACTGTTTACACACAAAAGAAGATAATTTGGAAAATGTTGTAAACTGGATGCCATCAACTTCTATGGTATGTGTTTTTCCTATTTGGATGTCAATGGCTACCTTTTGCAGCATTCTTCAAAACATCTTTTGTGTTCATAATAAAGCAACCCATAAATGTTTGGAACCACTTGAAAGTGACCAAACGGTTACTAAACTTTAAATCTTGGGTGATCTATCTCTAATTCTAGAGCTGCATTGTAAAAATGAGACGCTGCCTTAAATTAGGTTGCATTAAATTAACTTGCATTACATTAAGCTGATGTAAAACATCAAAGTGAATCCCATAACTCACATTGATCCATATTTCTACACTTAGATATAATTTTACACCCATTTATAAACGGGTAGAGAGTTTTAATGGTACAGTATCCTAAAGGTGCAAAACATTTACCTAACAAAAAAAGTTATACAAAAACGAGTAGATGTGTCCAAACCATTGACTAGCAGTGTAGGTCTGTACAGCTTTAATTCCCTAGAATTTTCAAAATGTAAAAACAAAATGTGTGTATGTTCATTTGCACACTTGTTTTAAACATTCTTTGGTTGTTTTCAAAAATGTAGGATAGTAGGATAACTCCAGCCTCATGTCATGAGGAAACAGCTATTTTACTCTACATCATCCGGAAAGTGGCTAATTCATACACTAAACAATATCTTTAAACTAACAGTTTTCTGTATTTTGCTATTCATGATATTTTCCATTTTGTATATGTTTTAGAATAGCATTATGTGAGTTTAATCTGTACTACAAACAACTTTCAAAAACTAAAGGTTTGAAAAAAAGTGACATTTGTAATAGTAAATTGATCTATTGTCTGGGTTGGTGTTGTAATATACGGTATGATTATGGTACGGTACTAAACTACCAGTACTTTTTAATTTTTTTGCATACTTAATTCACTGTACTACTTATACAATATGTTGTTTCAAACTAGAGTTGAATTTTTAACATAAAAAGTGGTCAGAGTAAAGATTAAGGTCTCACTGCTAATAAATGTTAAAAACAACAACAACCTCAACAACAAAAACCTGTTCTTCTTGAAATGTTCCTAGTACTGGGTTTCGGCTGGAAGGGTATCCGCTGAGTAAAACATATGCTGGAATAGTTGGTGGTTCATTCCGCTGTGGCAACCTCTGAAATAGAGACTAAGCCGAAGGAAAATGAATGGTTCACGATATAGGAAACCTGTAAATTAACAGATATTTTTTACAGTGTGCAATTTAATTTGTACAAAAACATGATTTCTTTTTCTCCTAAACTCGACCATCATTGAGGAATTAGCAAATCGTATTGAAATGTATGAATGAGCACTTACAAATGAATACAAATTAGCCACTAAATCCAAAAGTTACAAATTGCCGTAGGATTGCGCTGGATAATGCTGATATAGAAATACTGTATGTGGGAACACACTGCCATTTAAAAAAATTGAGATCAGTGCATTTTTAACAAGAAAACTAATAATTCTGTTCAGAGAAATGCCTTTAATTTGACAGTAAATCTTTAAAAAGATCTTAAATCTTCCTAATAATTAAAAAAAAGTCTAACTTAAACAGTAACCAACTGTTTTCAACAATTACAATAACAAGAAAGGTTCTTGAGCACGAAATGATAGCAATTCCTGAAGGATCATGTTACGCTGAAGACTGGAGTAATGATGCCAAAACTGCTGAATTGAATCAGAGGAATAAATAGCATATAAAACACATTCTAGTTATTTTATTCGTTCATTCATTTTCTTGTCGGCTTAGTCCCTTTAGTAATCCGGGGTTGCCACAGCGGAATGAACCGCCAACTTATCCAGCAAGTTTTTATGCAGCAGGATGCCCTTCCAGCCGCAACCCATCTCTGGGAAACTAGTTATTTTAAATTATATTAAATATAGTTCACTGTATTACAGTGATTGTATCCCTGTATGTAAAAAAAAAAGAAATCCAAATAAAGGGTCACACTTTACAGTAAGGTTTCTTTAGTTATTGCATTTACTAATATGAACTAACTACGAATGATACCTGTACAGCATTAATAAATCCCAGATCAGCATTTATTAATGCGTTATTAAAACCCAAATTTATGGTTGTTAACATTAGTTAGGTGACATGGTGGCGCAGTGGGTAGTGATGTCACCTCACAGCAAGAAGGTCGCTGGTTTGAGCCCTGGCTGGGTCAGTTGGCATTTCTGTGTGGAGTGTGCATGTTCTCCCCGTATTGGTGTGGGTTTCTTCCGGGTACTCCGGTTTCCTCCACAGTTCACAGACATGTGCTGTAGGTGAATTGGGTAAGCTAAATTGTCCAAAGTGTATGTGTGTATTTCCTGGTTGAGCGTTGGGCTAACAACTCACCTCATAAAAAAAAATTAGACGTTACGAAACACCAATATTGTGCGGCTACATATCAACTGCGATATAAATGGCCCAGGGAGTACGTAAGTAACACTATTTAATGCACTGTGAGTTAACACAAACAACTTAATTACCATTGACAAAAAGGAATAAATGCTGTAAGGTTAGTATTACCTAATAAAACCCGGTTACCAATTAAACACTGCCTTGGTGAGGGAAAAAAAGGAAAGGTAAAATTGTAAGGACACCAAACTTTTGAAAGGTAGTGCATCATGCTCTTATTTTCCTCATTACATTGCATTGATCCTTTTTAAAGTCGTGTTTTTCTGTTCTGTTTTTCTACATTGTGAAAAATATCTGTTCATAACAGTTTTCTTATTTTGTGATTTTCAATTGTTTATTTACAGTTGTGAAATGGATTATGGGATGTTGATCTCTGCTCCATCGAGTTTTGATCTTGAAAAGTAAAATATTAACAAAGTGACTTTTATTGACATTTTAGTAGTTTGAAATAATATAAGGAGAAATAAGGCTGTAAATTAACAGAAAATGACCTGGCAAGTTATAAGGATTTGTACCCTTCCAATAGGCACAGGACGTCAACTTGACGTCAGAATTGACAATGTACCCCAATGTCGTCAGAGGTTGCATTTTGTTTGGAAGTGAAAATCAAGTTGACGTCAGAACTCAACTTCAAGCCAACATCATTGTCCAATATCCGAAAGACATTGGATTTTGGGTAACTTTCTATTGCAACCTAAAATCAACAAAACATCAACATCTAATGATGTTACAGCTTGACATTGTGTTGACCACGAGTCACCAATCTCAGTCCTGGAGGGCCGGTGTCCCTGCAGGGTTTAGCTCCAACTTGCCTCAACACACCTGCCTGGGTGTTTCAAGTATACCTAGTAACACCTTGATTAGCTAGTTCAGGTGTGTTTGATTAGGGTTGGAGCTAAAATCTGCAGGACACCGGCCCTCTAGTAACAAGTTTGGTGACCCCTGGTGTAAACATTGGATTTTGGTTGCCATACCTGACGAATAAATGTCAGTATTTGACATCAATATGACGTTGCTTTAAGATGTTGGCTCGCCGTTGGATTTTGGGCGCTGTTCAGCACAACATAAAAACAACATTACATCAGCATCTGATGATGTTCCAGCTTGACATTGTGTGGATGTGACCAATATGACGTCTATCAGATGTTGGATTTTGGTTGACATATCTGACAAATAAATGTCAGTATTTCACATCAGCATGACGTTGGTTTAAGACAGGGGTCACCAATGTTGGTCCTGGAGGGCCGGTGTCCCTGCAGGGTTTAGCTCCAACTTGCCTCAACACACCTGCCTGGGTGTTTCAAGTATACCTAGTAAGACCTTGATTAGCTTGTTCAGGTGTGTTTGATTAGGGTTGGAGCTAATATCTGCGGGGCACCGGCCCTCCAGGAACAAGTTTGGTGACCACTGGTTTAAGATATTGGCTCAAAGTTGGATTTTGGTCACTTTCCAGCACAACATTAAAAACAATTAAATATCAACATCATTTCATGTCATTATTGGACGTCAAAATAACGTTGTCCTTAGACGCTGGCGACCTAAATGTAACCTAATATTATCGTCTTATGATGTTGTGTGTCTTCTGGGATAATGTAAAACACCAACCCAGACAATATGTCACTGGAAACTGTTAAAAATGTTTATAAAAGTCACTTTTTCAATCTTTAAAAGTTGTTTGTAGGAAAGATTGAAGGTCCCATAATACAATTCAAAAGCATAAATAATAAAAAATAAAAACATGAATCACAAAATACGGTAAACTACAAATTTACGGTTATTTTTTTTTTACAGGGTATTAGTGAAGATGGTCTAAAGTGCAAAAAAAAAAAACTAACTAAACCCGGAGCAGCTTCTGTAAGGCAAACGTGAAATGTTCGATCTGATATGACATTGTGATATGTCCTGTGTATCACAGTTAAGCAGTTAAATCTGAACTGAATTTGTAAATATTGAGGTCACAACCTTCTTTGAATACGTCATTATGTGTCATTTTGCCCGCTGAGCACGACAGAAAGTGTCACCGTTTTTTCTCATTCACTTCTCCTCTCAGCTCGTGCACGTCGATGTAATGATGCATAAATGAACTCTGACCTTTAAAGCCCAAGTCGAGCCCAGACTGACGTGTGATTGGCAGTTTTCAGAGTGGGGTCGTGA